AAGCAGGACCGTGAAGCAGGTGTGGCAAGAGAACCCCTCAGGTGAGGGGTGCAAGCAGGGTGAGCTTGGCCTGGTTTCTCTTTTTTTTGCACTGGGGATATTTGTTTTCCTAAGAGAAGGGGAAAAGAGAAGGTAGAAGAGCAGGTTGGTAGGTTACATGATAGGTGGAAAAGGCTAAAGCTGTGAGAGTTCATTAGCTGTGACTTTCTGAGCAAACAAATGGCCGGCTCTATTGCTCAGCCCCTAAATCAGTGACAGCATCAAAAGGCTCTCACTGCAGCACAGCCCTGCCCTGGCTGCCCATGGTCACAGCCCTGGATTACCAGCTCCAGGCAGTCCCAGCCTATTGCCTCCAATCACTATTTCTTTGCATGCTTGGGGTCAGACCCTGCAGATGGCTAGAAACAAGCTCCAGGAGATACCTCTCAGAGACCAAGGACACACGCTGCAGTGCATCTAATGGACACTGGCTGCAGGTGGGGATAAATAGCTTATTTAACCAGCTAACCTCAGATTCATGCTTCCCATGCTTGGCAGAAACCAGGAGCAGGGGCTTTTAACGCACAATCACGTTCCTTTAACATTCGTGCAGTTACAATCAATTATATAAAACAGTTCCAATTAGGCTTTTGTTAATCAAAAAGCATCTGGCTAAAACTTCCTTTTAATACATTTTCTAGCCTGCGTAGAATGAAAACGGATTTGCCTGAGTTCTGTAAATAAAGATCTTTATGAGAAAGATGTATTTAACCTCTGAGAGCTGGTTAAAAAGCAAGTCCGACTTTTTCTGAGTCCAGAACCATTTAGATATGCCTGCGATTGGTTTTGTGAGATAACAGTGCTTGAGAGCCTTCCACAGCTTCTGCTATGTTAGGCCTGAACAGATTTCAAAGAGCTTTTTGTTCAGGCTAGTTCCTATTCTGATTTCAGTTATGAACTGTGTTAATAAAATATTTTCCTTTTATTCTTCTCTAACCTCTCTTTTTGGTTGGACATCAGCACAAATTGGAAACCCTGGCAAAATTTCTCAGAGATAAAAAATACATTTGCCACAGTAGGGGCAAACTGAGCTTCTACCCCATGTGCCCAATGCAAAGGAAACAGGCCAGATCTCCACTGTAACAGGAATGATCTGGTGGAGAAGAGAACTCACACTGAACACAGAGATAAGAGACTCCTGTCCCAGTGAGTACATCTGTGTTCAGGAAGCTGCTGTAGAGTTTGTGAAAATCAGGTAGAGGAGCCTGCCTGCACTGCAAAGCCTCTGTCAAATCAGATACCAAAGCATAGGCTTATTTTTTTTTTCCCCCATCGAAACAGAATTATTGCTTTCCAGCCAGCTCTTCCAGAAACAGGAATTAAACACTCACCACAGGATCTCCCTGTTGGAGAAGACTACCTGCAGCTGCACCGTGCTTGGAGCACAGCCTGCGCTCACCACCCATCTCCCTCTCTGGCACAGGAAGCAGGTGGAGGCAAAAAGGCAAAGCTCACCAATGCTGCCTGCTCAAGTAATGGCTTTTAAGCCACCCAGAAAGACTACTGAGCACTGCTAACAGGCATCAGAGCAAACCCTCTGCCCCCGGCACCTACCTGCTTTCCTCAGCCCGAGCAGTTTGATGAGCACAATGCCACGTCCATGCTGTGAGACCAGCCTGATGAACCTGTGATTGCTGCCTGTGTCCTTTTAGAGAACAATCCCAGTTGCAGATGAATGGGATCAGAGGAAGCGAATCCAGCTGCAGAATAGGGCAGCCAAGATTTCCCCCTTGCTGGAAACAGAAGCCAACACAGCAATGCAGGTAGCATAAGGGGGTGCACAGCATATTTTGGTTTAGTGCCCATCCAGGCAGAAGGGAAGGACAGCCTGTACAGAAAGCTTCTGCAGGCAGAAAGGCACTTGCATCACCTAATGCTCTTCTTATACCATATCTCTTTAGAGCAGTAACACCAACAGGACTGTTGGTTTCTGATCACACCTGTGAGAGAAGTCACATTTACCTATTTTCCTGATGGATGAGCTCCTTAAGACTGAATGTCTACAAATTGAGTTAATATTTAATATGATACACTATGGATTTTTTTGAACTTTTAATACAAGCTTTGAGTTTAACCAGTTTTCACTTAAAACTGCTCAGAGCTAAAAATTAAGCTTAGAGTTCTAACAAAGAAAGCAAGTTACAAATAAATAACACAGAGAATAAATCCCACTTAAAGACTCAGAAGCAGATGAGGTGTTTAGGTTAAAAAAGACAAAGCTTGCATTTAATTTTAAACTAGAGTTGGAGGTGCACTACATTTCCAGGTTTCTCTGTTGTTGTTTTTTTCTCATCGTCCACGAACCCATTTCACATTTGGCACTATTACTGTCTCTCACTCCTGTGCACAGTGCTGGGGCTAGGTAGGTACTTTTCTGGATAAGTAATCATGTTTCAGTGGCTGCTAGGATGCTTCAGCCTTGTTTATATGCTCACAGTTTGATGCTGAGGTAAGGAGGTTCCACTTGCAAAGGACAGATTCAATTCTACGTAGTTGCTTGAAGGCTTACGTCCAGAGAATGCACAGAGAAACCACTATGTTCCTTGGACACACTGATCCACTGCATCAGCACCATTTCCAGCTCTTGTAATAGAGTGTTCACCCTTAAAATACACACTGTGAAAGGCCAATGTAAACACTATGTTTACCCTCTGTTAGCTCATTTAATGCCTAACTCTTTGACAAGGAGATCTCAACTCTTCATGCCTTGCTGGAATGGCTCCAGTCTTAGCTGAGGGGGATGGGGTCATCGAGATGATCAACCTCGTTGCCTGGAGAGGAGCTGGTGATAGCATGGGGAGGTAGACAAGAGCAGCAGAGAGGATGATCCTACAGGCTCTCTGCCTTCTTTCTGAAGTGTATTATGACTGTCTGACAAGGGCTTTTATGACACTGCTAAAAAACAGGTACCTGGGAGAGGCATTGGAAAGGCACGTAGAATCAGCACCAGGTTCCTTAGCTGTGGGGTTTCAATATGTAATGAATTTCATTTCTTTTCCTACAAAGACGCAGTTTGTAACATCAACACCTTTTCTTCCAAACTAAGAACTGCAGGAAACATTTTCAGAACAATTAAATAGCCTCAGCATTTTTGGATTTTGTGAGAATAGAGCATAGATGTGCCCTGCCACACTATAACCAGTGGTAGCAAAGGTACAACAAGTCTATGTATAATTACCAGGGCAAGCCCTTCCCATCACTGAATCCTCATTAAATTTTCCTTCAGATGACTGTATCTTAGCTTGTTCATAACATATAACACCATCTTTTATGTTGCTGCACCGCAGCAAGGTTTGGGTGGCATGCCAGCAGGTTTGGGGAATGCTAGCACATCCAAGGGGGTGCAAATGGATTGCAAGGAGCAGATGTCTCAATGTTTTCTCACTGCAGGTGCTCTTAAAAGGAAGGCAAACATTTCTTACCCTGCTGCCTCTTGCTTTGATATAAAATGACATATCAGGGTAGGCACCAGGACCAGCAGCCCTGCACATAGCTGTGTCAGAAAAGGGTGGTGGGAAAATCCCATCATCGTTACAAAGCATGCAGTAATACACAATACTGCAAAGACATATTTTTTTCCTCTTGTGTTTACATACAGCAGTGCTGTTTAACCTCCATACTGCTCCCCCAGCCCCAGCAAACTGCTTTTAACAACAAATGGGGTGTGAGCACCCACCTCACATCAAAAGCCATCAAATCTGAGAAGCTCCAAAGAGACCTTAATTAGGTTACTGTGGTTTAGAGGAGTGACTGACAGGGTAGCAAGAGCAAGGTTTTTGAGGGGCACTCAGCATCTTGCAGTGGTCATACAACACGGGCTCGAAACCATTATAGATATCCACAGAAAATGCAAGACAGGTCTCAGCTCCCTCTTGGGTAAGCAGGGCAGGAGGGAAGAAGAGCCATATAAAACCTGTACTTATATTCTCAGTTTTTTCCTCCAGTGCACAGTGCCCACCATGCAGAGATAAAAGTGATGCAGTGATAGATGCATTGCTTACCTCAATGCCTTTATGGTTCGAGTCTGATAAGGTGCTGGTTCAGGAAAAGTCTCAGGCACAGCTGCTTCATTAGGAATGGAGGCCACAGCCTTTCAAATGGGTTTCACTAGATGATTATCAGTTTCCACTGGGCTAAGTTAAGCAAAACACCCCTCAGCTGACTCATTTTTGGCAGGTAGCAGCTCAGTTTTTCTTATTAGTACTTTCTAAGAGATTTCCCAACACATTTAATTTCAAAAACTTAATAGCTGAAAGGAAAAAACCTAACTAGAAAATAAGATAAAAAGCAACTATAGAAAGAAAAATCATTATCTTAATTACAGAGCAGCTTTGTCCTCTAATGAGAAGGTATTTTTTTCCACAGGACAGCACTGATCAAATAGAGGAGGTACTTTAAATGGGTCTGCGTTTTGTGTACTGCATTGAACTTCTAACCTCTCACAACTTGTATTTACTGCATTTCAGAGCTGTATTAGACAGTGAAAGACCTTTTTTTTTTTTTTTTTTTTTTTTCCCCCCAAGGATTGCAGGTTCATTTTGTAGAGCTCCCCTGCCATGGAGTTAAATATCTCATGGTATTCATGCAAGTAAATCAATAGCAGTGGATATTGTGTGCAGCCTATAAATGTGTGTGTATATATATATATATATATATATATATATATATATATACACATACATAAGTGCCATTTGCCATGGCAGGCATCACTCTCTCTGCACACAAAACAGACAAACTTGCAGGGGTAGATAAAGTGTCTTATGACTTCTATTCCTTGAGGTAAGTCTAGGAATTTGCAGGTGAGCCAAAAAAGAGCTGTGTCCCCAGGGAGGCAGTACTACCTGAGCCCTTTTGAGATTTGGTGCCTCAGCTCGCAGCTGAGGGAGTGCCCTGGAGCACAAAGCTCCCTCCCCTTTGCACTCAGCCATAGTGTCACAGCTCTGCTTGGCAGCAGGGTCTGTGTTACCAGCTGCAGTTGTCCCTGCTCTCATCCCCTGCGATCCTCCTGTTGCTGAGGTCTCCAAGGTAAAGATTAAGATGATGGAGTTCTTGCGGATGTCTACTCCACAGAAGAGTGCTGCAGAGAAGATACTGGCAAATAACCTTTTCCTTCTGTGATTTTCTCTTTCTTCTTGCCTCCAGCAAAATAGCAAAGGTAAGAAGTTAAAAAAAATCGTGCTCTCCTTGATGCAAGTAAATATGCCTTTTGGTAACACGGAGTATTGTAGTGCACTATCCAGTTGGTAACTGATCTCAATGTTAAATCTGAAAAAAAAATCACATCAGCTGAAATCACATAACTTAAAACTAAGTAGTCACTTTGGATGTTTGGAAATTCATTAAAGACACCCTAATATTCTTCCAGTGTTGAGTGGCTCTGGTCCAGGAGACCTATAGAATAGTCAGTAATGATTCTGAAGACAGCACTATTTCACACAGCTCATATCCGAATGGAAACATTAAAGTAACTTCTCTGCTTCATTTTTACCCACAATGTTGTATGCACTCAAACTCCCTAATAGAGGTACTCTTTTACAGAAGAATAGAGAACCTGTCCTTTTCAGACTCACACAAAAGCATGTTTCTTCTGAAAGCAAGACAAGACCTGGAGAACATAGGGATGACTCTTGAGACTTGAAGCCATGTCCAAGGGGGAGGTCTCATGTGACACACAGAGGACACACAGAATGGAAGATTCGTGTAAGCCTTAAACTTAAGTCTTCACATGGTAGGCAGTTCTGATCAGTAGTTGCACCTGAAAGGTTCAAGGTTCCTTCACTGACAGAAAGGCAAAAAAACCCACCAAAGATTCATTCTAGACCCAGAAAAATCATAAGATTTATTTCTCATCCTAAGCACTTCATTGGGAAAGTAGTTGCAACTCTCTTAATAAAAAAAAAAAAAGAAAAAAAAAAAAATAAATTAGTTAACCTGCTCAATATATTTTCAAGATTCTTTTTGGTAAAAGCTATGTATAGTACAACATAGATATTTAATCTAATTACTCTGTACAAATATCAAGGCACACTCTAAACACTATGATCTTACACTATGCAGTGTCAAGATAAAGGCAGGTTTTACTGCTCATGGTACAAATCCATAAGCCTCCATTAATTCAGGTACTGCCAGTAGCTGATCTACTTTGTGTGGAAAAATGACACTCAAATATGAATCAAATTTTGAGCTATGCAAGCTCAGCTTTCAAAATAAAGCATGAAAACACGGTGCTGCACTTGTACAACAAAAACTACGCATTCTATTTTCAGCACTCAGCTTTGCATAAAAAATTACTCCTTTCTGAGAGGCAGCTCATTTCAGTTTTTGATAATTTGAAATTAATGTTTTATTTACTATAGTGGCTTATGGAACATTTAAAATAGGACAGCTCATACTTGCAACTACCATTTTTGTTCAAGTTGAACTGTTCAGAGTTTCAGTTCCCAGGAACAAAAATTCATGCACTTGCAGTCATACCTTTATCTCAAGAATTTTTTTCTAGAGATAGGTACAATATTTCTGAACATTATCATCAGTAAGGGAAAAGCTGTTCCTTGTTAAAGATACAAAAGTAATAGCCAAGCAATACAGATTCAGCTTTCTTTTTATTTTATTTTATTATTTTTTTAAACCAGAGAACAGCCACCCTGTACTTCCATATAAGAGAGCCTGATTTGCAACTTCTTTGAAGAGAAGGCAAAATAATGCGAAGTACAAACACATCTTTAATTCTGAGCTGCCAGGAAAAATACATTTTCTCTACAAAAAATGTAATTCCTTTCAGAGTTTCTGCATCCTCATTCAAATACAATGAATAACCAATAGGCTATATCTACTCTCCTGTCTCAATCCATAAATACCATTATGGAAAGCAGTTCTGAAAAAGAACTTTGTATAACAGACACTACAGAAATTGACTAGCAGTTCTAAAATCTAGACTCAAATCTTGGAAATTAAAATTATTTTTGTACCGATGTTGATGTAAATTTCTTTCTGAACTGGAATAACTAAAAACAAGTATCTCCAAAACTGAGAAGACAGTCTCTTTAATTATCATAGAATCACAAGGTTGGAAAGGACCTACAGAATCATTTAGTCCAACCGTCCTCCTGTCATCATTACTACCCACTAAGCTACTAACCTTATCTCGTAGCTCCTCATCCAAACACCTCTTGAATAGTGCCAGGGACAGCGACTCCACCACTTCCCTGGGCAGGTCATTCTGGAGCCTGACCAGTCTTTGACAGAAAATCAAGCCTGGACTTTTTTTTTTTTTAAAGTAAGAATCTACATTTTGACGACACATAACGCTGACTGTAGAAAGCAATATACCCATCAAATTTCAGGGCTAGTGAAGTTAGAAATGATGATTACCACTGAAAGGCCTCTGAAGAAAAAAGAGTGGGTAAAACAATTCATCCCAAACCCCTTCTGGTGCTAGAGATAAGCATCTTTCAGAAAGGTAAGATTAAAGAACTCCAACTAATAGAAAAATCCCCTATTCCCTGTGGAGTTGTCCCAAAACTTTATTTCTTCTGTTCCAAAAACAAAACAAAAAACAAAACAAAAAACAAAACAAAACAAAAAAAAACCATGAAAAAGTCTCACCTCAAAAGCTTTAATTGATGACTGAGCTCATTTGGCTTCAATGCCCAACCGTTAGATTTTGTTACGCTTTTCTAGTCCAGGCTAGAGATGCTGTTACCAAAGTTTTCTTCCCACATGATCAAGCTAAAATCACATCCAACTGATCACCTTTTCACTGTTTTGATAACCCAGATATCTTAAGCTTCTAACATTTTCCCCAAGTCCTGTTTCTCAGATCCCAGGCTGCCTTTACAGCTCTGAATTTTTATGAACTTAATATTAACGACCATTTTTAAAAATATCTCACTGGTGCTGCATGAAGAAGCAACGCCTCCTTTTTCACTTGCTCAGTAGTAACCAACTCACATGTTAAATAATCATTATTTCTCCTTAGGACTCTTAAAATAATAAATTGTAGGGGCCAAAAAAACTAATTTCACTTCTGGCAAAATATTTCATCTAGCCTAGGGTAGAAGCCATGTTTCAGATTTTAGCATTTAAGCATTTTCATTTTTTTAAGGACAAAATTATTTCTGAAAAGAAAAAATTGTTATTGACATACTTTCATTAATTTGTTTGAGCACAGTATTTGACAATATTGTGTTGATTTATTCTGTGGCTGAATCCCTGAAAGAGAAAAAAAAATTGTCATATTGTCAGCATATTTCATCTCCTCCTCTTGCCTGCTTCCCTCTCCTGAAACCATCTGAACAATTTCACAATTTCTATACTAGAAGGTTAATTTGAAGTAAGGCAAACTGCAAAACCAAGCCACAGAGACGATGGTTTCATTTCCTCGCAGTTTATTCCACTTCATAGAGGACCAAGTGAAGTAAGAACACAGTGCTCACACTTCTGAGAAATAATCTTTACATGTGCCATTATTTAGCCTAAAGTGGATTGTAACAACCTGAATGAAGGGGCCCATTATACACCCAAAAGCAAGGAGAGTGCACCGAGCTGCTCAAGGCAACGTGTAGCTTGGAGAAAGATGATGAACTGTAATGCTAAGTTAGCACTGAACTGGCGCAGCTGGCAACTAAGGAAGCAAGAAAATATTGCTATTAGAAATGTGAATACCATTGATTCAAAAATTTCTGAAGCTATAAACACTAGATGCAGCAATGACAATTTAAAGTCAATTTTCAGAGATCTAATAGAAGAGCAGTCAGTGCTGGAATAAACCACCACACCTCACTAAACAATTTATTGTCAGAACAATGGCTATGATACATACTGCAACTACTCTGAAAAACAGCCTTGGTTATATTGCTAATAAGGGAAATGAATGCAATAAAAGGTTCTCAGCCACTGCAAGAACAGTAACAATATGAAAAGATGGTCAAAGCATTTTGCTAATGCTCATGAATCAATCTTGTTTGCAATGTATCTGCTGTTTGGAAATTGCACTTCCCATCTCATTATATAATTTACCTATTCTGCCTGTATTTTAAAGAGTTGCCATGCATCCAAGAAAAAGTAAATACGAGCCTTGGATGTGCTTTACTCCTGCTTTCATTGTAGAAAAGGAAAATATAGCTCCGTGCAAGAAACACTGTCCTTTCCAGAAGAAGCTCTGCAATATGACCATGAGCTCCTGTGGTTATAGAAACGTCCTCTGTGGGAGACAGCTTCATTTATAACGAGGTTTTGACAGTGCTAGAGGGATGCTTGATATGGAAAGGATGACAAGAGCTTCAGCCATTTTCTCCACATGAATACATCTGAAGTGCTTTGGAGAAAGCCCTTTTCTCCAGGAGCAGTGCATCAGGACAAACATTTCCCATTTCCCTGTAGGCCCAAAGTGATGATCGCGTAAAGAAGTAAACCAAGCAGAAGCGAAGATGGCTGCAATCAACAGGTTTTCCCGCAGTGCAAGAGACTATACGTTTCACAAAGGGCAATAAGGTGAGTGAAGACCTGGATGTGCCACTGCTGGGTCACTGCAGCAGCTTTTTTCCACGGTAAGATGGGGTGAATGACCAACGCTCGCTATAAGAGAGCCCAATCCTGGAAACAGGAAAAATAAGCCAGAAACTATTTCGAAGTGCCAGGAGACATGCATGTAATAACAATAAGCAAAAATCCTTTACACAGAAATTTCAGTGAAACAAAGAAGGCTGACCAGAACGTTTCAGAGTGGGAAAAATTGTGAATAATAAACAAGGTAACCTCTGTTTTACTGGCCAATTTCATGACAAAAAAAACTCGAAACATCCTGTGAATCATACTTGGTGCTGGCTGGAAGACTGTGTTCAGGGCACGATGTCTGTACTCTCTATAAATGTTACTACATCCAGTAAACTCAAGGCAACGGCAAGGGGACTGTAAAACCACTGAGGATACCATATACTGCAGTGATTGTAAAAAATGCAGTAAAAGAAAAATGATCTTTTATTAAATCTTTTGTTTGGGAGAAGTTTCGCATTTTAACAGGGTATTTAGCAATCAGAACAGCTTTTCATAAGCAGCAGTCTCTTCGCCAAAAGATCTGATTTGGAGCCCCATAAAGTCCTCAAATGTCTTTTAATGCATTTGATGGAAGGAGGAAGGTGAAATGAAGCAAGCTTTTTGCTCTGTTACAATTTTGCTTCCAGCAAACAGAGCCCCCATTTTGTCATCTCATCCTCTCTACCCAGATGATGCCCAGAGGCAGTGCAAAAATTCACTGCAGGCGTGTGGGTCTCTGGATGGCTCTGAACTGCAATAGGCCATCCATGGTTAGTGTGCACCCATTAGTGTTTAATTTCATTGTTAAATCTGCCTGTAGTTCTCAGTTTGTCACCTCCCTCAGATGTTTTCAGTATCAATATGAAGAACCTGGGGAAAAAAAATAAAGTTGTCTTCTAACAATTCAATACATAATAAAAAGCTACACAAAAGCCAGTTAGAAGAAACAACCCCCCCTCCATGTTACTTAAGTAGCAAAAGACAGGGACAGCATAAGAAAGCTGCGGGTGACAGGAGGGCTAACAGCTGCACTGCAACTTATTGCCAGTTGATTGCTCAGTGCATTTTGCTTTTCTTTTTCTGCATTGGAATACACATGAAAATACTCTGGATTGTCCATAAAAAGAGAATGGGAGGGGTTTTATGAAGTGAGTCTACCTTAAGAAATGGAGAAAAATTTGGTCAAAACCTACGTTCACATCTTAAGGCAATATCTAAAGGACCTTCACCAACCTGGCTAGAGTGAAGGCATTTCACCTGAAGGCGAACACATTGCAAAACGCAATTAAACTGCTCCCAGTTCAGGTGTCAGGACTGACAGGATTGGGACCATATTGAAAGAACTTTAATAGCAGAAAGCCAGAAGCAGTGTCATTTCAGACTGGATAGACATCTGTCAGTTATTTAAATTAAACAAAATAAATATTTTTACAGGGTTAATGGCATTTGTCAATGCATGCAATCATAATAAAGTCTGATACACTCTGAAATTTAAGTACAGCTCTAACACCAAGTGAGTACTTTGGAAAATGTTTATACATTTCAGGAGTTCAGAAGTTGGCCCTAAGAGCATCAAAAATATTTTAATTAAGAAAAGCATATTAACAGCAAATCCAGCAAAACTCTTAACTGTACACTAAAAAACGTGTGTCTAAGAACAAATGCTTCATCACCTATAGAGAAGTTGCTTTTCTTTTGATAATTAAAAAATCTTTCATTTCTATTACGAAAAATCCTCTAGACTGAAACAAAACTCAACCTGTATCGTCTTCTCTATTACAACCATCTCTCGCTGTTAGAATAAGCACAGCCTAACCAAACCCAAATATTTACTTAAACTAGTCAATCTCTGTGTATTCTGTACTAAAGGCAGCAAACAGTATCTAATTAACCATCCTGCTTCTCGGGCCATATTGCTAGTATTGTATCTAACTGTATACCAAACTTGTGGAATTTAAGTAAAAAACTCATAAGGGAAAAAATTGCACTTCATTGTGTGCACTTGCATGCCAGAAAGGTAACTGTATCCTGGGTTGCACCAAAAGAGGGTTAGCCAGCAGGGTGAGGGAGTGGATTGTTCCCCTCTACTCTGCCCTTGTAAGGCCCCATCCGGAGTATTGCATCCAGCCCTGAGGCCCCCAGTAAAAGAAAGATGTAGAGCTGCTGGAGCTGGTCCAGAGGAGGGCCACAAGGGTGACGAGAGGACTGGAGCTCTTGTCCTATGCAGTAAGGTTGAGGGAGGTGGGCTTGTTTAACATGAAGAAAAAAAGGCTTAAGAGAGACCTCAAGTACTTGAACAGAGATTACAATCAGGAGGAAAATCAACTTTTTGCATGGTCTGATAGCGACAGGACAAGGGGAATGGCTTTAAATAAAAAAAGGAGAAATTTAGCTTAGAAGCTAGAAGGAAATTCTTTACTTGAATTGCTGAGTCCCAGGCATAGGCTGCCCAGAGAAGCTGTGGATGCCCCCTCCCTGGAGGCACTCAGGGCAAGGTTGGACGGGACCCTGGGCAGCCTGGGCTGGTGGGTGGCTGGCAGAAGGGTCGGAAATTGATGATCTTCAAGGTCCCTTCCAACCTAAGCCATTCTATAATTCAGTTCCTTTTACTGCATCTCTGGTAACGTTTTTAATACACCTTGTACTCCACCAACACATACAGCACAAACCTCAGCAACGGTGCTCACGGGGAAGAGGGCCGTGCTGCTGCCATCCAAATAAGGTTTGCAGAATCACACTATAGGATATAAGAGCAGTATTTACTCCTGCAGGCACAGTAACTGAATTTCCAAGCTATAATTGGATGATGTGGTTTGTAGCATCTCCAGAACCCCTTGATGGAATTACGTCTGCCTGATAAATTATACAATTCTCAGAACTGTACTTTACACAATGCATGGAGCCCTGAGTTCTGAAGTCTTGATAGATATATCACCTGCTTTCTCCTTCTAACACCCTGAGACTTAAAACACAAGGAGCTGCCCTATGCATAGAAGCGAGGCAGAAAGAAAGCGCCCACAAGTTAAGGGAAACACTGCCTTCTCATTTTTTTGAGCTGACAAAAGGCAGTGGGGGAAATGGGACATCTGTTGCTGTCTGCAGCCCGTTTTCTTCCCACTAAAACACACTGCAAACCCATGGAGCATCGGTCAGCATAGAAATAGTGTGGCTACAGTCCACTAGTGGCCAGATTTTCATTCACTCAGTAAATTGCTGACTGGCAACAGGGTAAAATGACCTTTGGTTTGATCTAATGTCTTAAGGAATTTGAACATTTTATTAAGCTGAAATTTTAATATTCTGAAACACAGTGGGACTAAAGCAGGATTAAACATTGGTTTCCTTTGTTGTCTTTATGAACAGGAGAGTATACGCTGAAGGAGTGGATTTCAACTTTTGAAAGCAGGAAGAATTAAGAAAAATCACCCACATACAACTGTAGTAGTCCTAATGGTAGCCTAAACCCCTGCAAACTGATGAAAGAACAGGGTCTATCTTCCTCTATCTATCCTCTGGCTAGAAGAGAATACTCAATGAGGCTGGACAGAGAATAAATGAATGAGAAAATATTTAGTATACTTATTTAATTAGTGCCTTCTGCTTCCAGCGGTCACGTGGCAGAATAAGAGACTAACCAGAACAAGGTAGCTACCTATAGAATAATCAAACTTTCAGCAGCGGAGAGAAAGACATCAGTCTGCTCAGACTGGCATAGCAGAGAAATGCAGTCAACACCAAACTTCCACTGCTGGAAACATGCTGCTTCTTTAATGCATTTGATAAAGCACTTACTAAAAAAAGCTGAAATAAAAATCAAGCATGATCATAGAATGTTTTTGGTTCAGAAGGGACCTCAAAGATCATACAGATCCAACCCCCCTGCCAGAGGCAGGGTTGCCAACTGCTAGAATATGAAGAATGAATTTTCAATGCATCCAAAGACTTGGTAGAACATGCCTCCTGGTTATGATTTGTCACTTGAAAATGGCTTTTATTGGTCGTTCTATACCTTAGATGATAATAAGGTACCCAAAGACACTCAGTGGCACTTAATACATGTACAAATGCCTTCAGTTTTACTAAAAGGCTAAGTACAACTGAGGAACAGCATTAACTAAATTTAATAAAAACACTTTTTTTTTGGCAAAACAACTATTTTGATTGGGGCAAAATGCATATGCATACTGGGGATACTCATTCCCAGGTGAAGTGTAATGCTATTGTAACCCTGTGTCTATAGAATTAAAATCAGGATACTTGTATAAATTGAATTTTTAATGGCTATTTGATCTCTTCAAAGATTCCCACCTTCTTCACTGAGATGTCTCTTTTTGTGTCAAATCTCCAAACAACTTCAATGTCTGTCTGCAGCACAGATCACAGAATTTTCCCTTACACTTATTTAAGTTCTGCTTGACCTCCATACCTGTGAGGTATGGCACAAACATTGTTTTAAGAGCATCTTGTTCATTTAACAGCCTAACCTGCGGTACAATTAATACACACAATATAGATCGGTATCATATTTTGTAAGAAGCTGCTCCAGCTGAAGCTGATAAATACCCAGCAGCTCATTTTAATTGGAATTGGATTGAGCTACCCATGAAATCAGTAAAATTAGTGTCTTTCTAGAAATTCCTGTAACTACTCCAATTTGTTTCATATGATTGCATAACAATAACACAGGATCGAATGAGGAATTCACAGTAGGTAACTGAAAACACTCTAGAAAGTAGCATTAGAAAATGTGATCTGATTTTGATGACAATACTCATTCAAAATCCAATGACAGTACTTTTTAAATCTTTTTCAATATTAACAAACTTACATTTACCTGCAATACAGAGAGACTCTTCACAGATTCAATCTCTTTTATCAGGTAGATAAGCATTTCATAATTTCTTTTTCCTTAGCCATGCTTTGCCCTTTGATCTCCTGCAGCAGCCTACTTTTGAAACTAGAAGGTTTTTTTCATTTTTAAAGCTCTACTCAACCTCACACTTAAGCATGGTGCCTTCATCTAGAGAGATGAGGAGCACATCAACTTAACTTTTATGATTAAAAGCTCCAATTCTGGAACATTTCAGTATGTCCAATCACCCAGGGAACCCATCTGTATTTCTGCTCCAAAGGGAAAAAAAACCTCAGCAGACCAACTGGTAGGTGATGGGGAGGCTAAACCAGTGTCCATTAAATTCCAGGAAGGGAATAAGCGACTTTGGTGCATTTTGCATCTTTCCATCATTTTTAACTTCTTTCTTTTTAATCTCACACACGCATTGTCTTATATAACAATCAACACCACTTCTGCAAATGCCCTGCTATACCTCATGCTGAAAAAGCAGACCAAAACATTGTATTTTTAGAGAAAAACTTGTTCACGCCACTATAAAAAGCCTCTGTATCTGGCAAAAAAAATATTACTACCTGAAGTCACCGTCATTACTTCAATCATACTAATTAAGCTGAACTGAAGACTTGACAGTTTTTGGAGTGAGATTTGCTTACTACTAGAAGCAAAAAGTGGGAACAGTTAACAACAGGCTAGCAGCATGCCTTCTGGACACTTGTAAGCTGCCTACTGGAAGAAAATACCCACAGTTTTTTCCTGTCTGCTTCTGTTGGACAAGGAGCATCTATTTCCCCCCAAAGATGGGTGTTCCTTACAATGACATAGTAACTGTTACATACAACAAAAGGAACAAAATTATATATATATTTTTTGTCAGATATAAAGCGTTGTGTTGAATTAAAATTATTACGCCTAGGACCACTTCAAAAATAGTACAAGTGAACAGTGTTATTATTTCCAGGCCCCTACATACTTTTTAAGAAATGAGAATGCTGTTCTTTTTATAAGCAGAACTTGAACACGTTTCTATTAAAAGTGAGATTCACTAGATGAATTTATTTTGTTTATAGTTTAGGTATTCTAAATAGGTACTTTGTAAGAATGAAACGTATTTGCTATTTGAAGTGGTACACTTTATAGTGGTCACCATCTTTTTTTTAATTATCATAATAGTAACACATGCAATATAAAACCATATAAAATATATTACCTTAAAATTTATGCAATAATTATTAATTACTGGCAGAAGTATCTGCTTCATGGGATTCAGAGCAGAGACCTGACCAAAAAAGCCTGGATAACTGACGATGACTTTCTACATATGAAACAGGAATTCTAACCTGAAATGATGGAATAAGAGCCCTAAACCTACTAGCCTTTGTAAGGAGTGTGGTACTGTAGCTTACATACAACGAGTCTTTGTTTCTTCCATCCTTCCATTTCCTGCTCTCACTAACCTCCTGCAACCTGCTGGAGACTGGCAGTGTGTGTGATGTGGCTGTTCAATAGACCAAAGTATGAAAAATACTTAATAACTTTTTCTCACTATGGTTAGCATGCATGAAATGAATGAGGCTTCCTGCATAAGGGATAAATCCATAACTAAATGTCAAAAACTATAACTCTCTCTGAAGGTAGCTTATTAAGAATTTGCTATGGTTCATTTTACAGTGACACTTCCATATTCAGGAGTGTCAGAAAACAGAGGAGTAGCCTGGGATCAATTCATTCTGACATTAAAATAGGAGGAGATATAAAGGGGAAAGGGAGGGAGAACAGAACTGGTATCTAACAAAGCATCTGAACTCATTCAAAGATAAAGCAAATTCAAGATTCATTATTGAACTCCCCAGTTCCAATCAGACAGGTTCTGAGGCACAGTTGGGGTGATTATAGCTTGCCAGAGTAACACATGGCAGTCCTAAAGCCCCGTTTGTTTAAATAGCATGATATAGCTCTTCCTCCCAGCTCGTGTATTAAAGCTCAATGGAAAAATTGAGTAAGAACAAAATATAAAGTACGCTTATGTCAGAAAAGACTAACACCAAAGCTGTCAGTAAAAGAGCAAATTAACCGCTATGGTACACTCGGGTCTCTGATACTATCAGTTTCTAAAAGCAATACTGGGAGCAATGCAAGACTACAGCAAAATGCAGCTTGAATTCTAAAGACCAAGAGAACGAAAGCGAGAAAATAAGTCTGGGGATATAAAATAATTTAAAAAAAAAATAAAATCAGTTCTGTAGAAGCTGGATAAAAACCAACACTGGAAGTGAAAACCTCCCCTCCAGAAAATGCCTTCTCTGTAGCAATATACCAGCTTCACCAGAACACAGGTGGGGACAGCTTCAAAACTGCCCAAAAGAGTAGTGCCTCCACTCTGCTTCCCCTACCACATGAACTTTATTACTACCTGTTATCATCAAGGAGAGAGCATTTTTCACCTTTAGGAGAGAGTCCAGACCTCTGTAAAGCACAAAAACTGAAATAGAGGTCAGGGGCAGCTCCAGGGAGCACCGCCCAACTCAAGGGTTTTACCCAGCTGGTGTAGAAGAAAACAATGAAAAGAAAGAGGAAAGTGTGAGAAGCCTTAGCGTGCTACCAGTACATGAATCCAATCTCACAATAGTTGCCTGACAGCTGAGATGAGAGAGTAACCAAACTTCCTAGGCTGGTAACGCACTGGAGCAGGTTGCCCAAGGAGGTTGTGGATGCCCCATCCCTGGAGGCATTCAAAGCCTGGCTGGATGTGGCTCTGGGCAGCCTGGTCTGGTGGTTGGCGACCCTGCACATGACAGCGGGGTGGAAACTAGACGATCGTTGTTGTCCTTTTCAACCCAAGCCATTCTATGATTACTGGCTAAGTATGGCATAACATGGATTAAGGCATGTTCTAGCAGCAAAAGGCCTTCTCTTAATGCCAGAAATTCGGAGAACCACATTTGCATGCAAGTGTGAACTCCTGCAGGCACCCCAAACCAGAGGTGCTTGCAATGTACCTTGGCTTTGTTCAGCTCTCAGACTTCAACAGCTCTGTGGCAAATATCTTCTGCACTTACACACCTCACTTCCAGGATGTTACAGCTAAGCTTTACAACCTAGCATCTGTAAATAATAAAATAAAAAAACAACCTTCTCTTCATCCACTTTACTTTCTGGGGTTGCATTATGATACATCAGAAATGAAGCCTCTCTCCTAATGAAATAAAAGCAACAACACTCCCAGAGGTGTGCAGATTTTATGGAGGTTGGTCTGTGAGAACTTGATTATAAGAAAGAAAATTACTGCCAGGTGCTCAGCTTGGCCTTTTAGGGGCTGACTGCCTCCAGATTTGTGGGCTGTCCTTAAGGAAAAGCACAGGGAGAGAAAATTGGGACACTCTTAAAGGTTCATGAAGGTAATGGTCATTGTAAACCACCCAGGATGCTTTTATCATCTCAAGTAGGGAAAAAGTTACAAGTGAAAACATACAGCTAACACTAAGAAGATAGCTGTTTCCTTCTGGGGCCTCTTATTACATATGATCAGCAAGGCTACATGCAGTCTAGGAAAAATAAATGGTTCAGGGTGATAGGGGAACAACAAATTTATGGAGAAAAAGGTACCACTGAGGACCTCTTTTCATCAGAATCATATAATCAACCCTACATCTAAAAGCTCCTTGAACACCTCCAGGGTCAGTGACTTCACCATCTCCCTGGGCAGCCCATTCCAGTGCCTGACCACTTGTAATGCTATAATGGAATGATAATAGCTAGGTGGCAAAGTCTTTGGCTACAGCAAATGAGAATGAGCTCAAACGCAGCAGCCACAGATGCAGGAACGGAGGAAAAGAGCTGTTCACCTTCATAAGGCCTCAAGTAGACAGGGATCTCTGGCAAGAGATGCCTTCACCTCCACTGCCAACACTTAAATGAGATCTGGGAACAGGTGGATCCTGGCTCCATCCCTTCTGCTCACTCAGTTACATTGCATGCAGCTGAGCTCCCCTGGGTTGGCTCTGCCTTCCCACCAGGGGCTCAACCACTGGTTCAGGCAATGACTTAGCATTTCCACTATACCACTCTTTCAGAGAAGCAATATTTCCTAACAGCCAGCCTAAATCTCACCTGGTGCAACTTGAGGCCATTCCCTCTAGTCCTATCACTAACTACACAAGAGAAGAGGCTGACCCCCAGCTCACTACAACCTCTCTTCAGGTAGTTATAGAGATCATCTCTCCCTACAGAGCTATAAACAGAGGTAACTGGAATGGAAGGCCCCTGATTTTCTAGATTATAGAGCCTGGCCAATGTCAGAGAACCCATTGCCAAGTCAAGTGTCTCTTCACTCCGTTACCAGAGATATCTCACACTGTTCACAGTAGCATTACCCAGGAAAAGACAGCTCAGGTGGCTTTGCCACTTTCTCTCATTATGAAAATAGGAAAAATCTGATGTTAAACAGGTTTCTGTCATTTGCAAGGTATTGCTATTGTATCCTACAGGAACTTCTCAGATGTTTTATGCTGTTCATTAACAGAAAGGATAAGTTAAACAAGTTTGAACATTTTAAATAATGGATAAGTCAACATCTTACCACTGTAAAGAGACAGATCAAGTGGAAAAAAAAGGAATGAGAAATTAATAATCGTTATTTTCAGAAGGCTAAGGAATCTTCCGACTGCCACAGAAATGGCGTGCTCTTGTGAAGAACGTGGGCAGCATTACTGCAG